CCTCCCGAGTAGCTGGGACTACAGGCATGCGCCACCGTGCCCGGCTAATTTTTTCTATATATATTAGTTGGCCAATTAATTTCTTTCTATTTATAGTAGAGACAGGGGTCTCGCTCTTGCTCAGGCTGGTTTCGAACTCCTGACCTCGAGCGATCCTCCCGCCTCGGCCTCCCAGAGTGCTAGGATGACAGGCGTGAGCCACCTCGCCCGGGCGGAAATAAGTTTCTGATGTTTTAAGCCACCAGATTTGTTGTCATGTGTCACAGCAGCCCTAGGAAACTAAAACAAGGTGCATGGTAGAAAAACACATTTTCAATTTATATGCAAAGGATTCTCCGTTTTCCCAGACTAGGAGAGGCTAATTGAACAGCAGGGATTGCTCTCCTGGACCACCACGCTGGGGCAGGACAGGGCTCAGGGCTCAGGGCCCGGGAGGACACCCCAGGGGTTGGCAGCTGGACCGGTCCCAGCGCACAGACCTCCTCTCTCCCTCTGCAGACGGGATCCGGGCCGGGAGGTACCGTGCCCTCTTCCACCCCGAGCAGCTGCTCAGCGGGAAGGAGGATGCGGCCAACAACTATGCGCGCGGCCGCTACTCGGTGGGGTCCGGGGTCATCGACCTGGTGCTGGAGAGGACCCGGAAGCTGGCAAGTGGCCCCCTCCTCTCCCATCGGCATCACCTGTCTGCCCCTCCATCGCCCCCCCCCCCGCCCTGCGCATGCGTGCTCAGAGCCCGCGTGCACGCCCAGGGCCCTGCTGTCGGCTTCGCTTCCACCTGGTTGCAGGGGAAGGGGCCCCGAAACCTGCACTCTGATGGGGGAACCCCCAATTTCCCTTGCTTCTACGAACACAGCGTTTATCTTGCTATCAGAGACCTCCAGAGCACTCTAAAACTTGTTTTCCAGTAGTGATCGCTATTTATGAGGTTTACAAGAGGTACACCCTACCTGGAGATTAGTTACCTGTTATTAGTAATATTTTTGTTTTAATTTTAGCGTATTATGGGGGTACAAGTGTCAAGGTTTACGTATATCGCCCATGGCCCCCTCCCCCCTCGAGTCAGAGCTACAAGCGTGTCCATCCCCCAAACTTTGCACATCTTACTCATTGTGGTGGTATATACCCATGCCCTCCTCCCTCCTCCTACCCTCCCGACACTCGATAGATGTTATGCCTATTTGTCCACTTAGGTGTTGATCCGTTAATACCAGTTTGCTGGTGAGCACATGCGGTGCTGGTTTTTCCATTCTTGAGATACTTCACTTAGTAGAATGGGTTCCAGCTCTATCCAGGAATATATAAGAGATGCTAGATCACTGTTGTTTCTTATAGCTGAGTAGTACTATTATTATTATTTTTGAGACCAAGTGTCTTGCTCTGTTGCTCGGGCTAGAGTGCCGTGGCATCAGCCCAGCTCACAGCAACCTCAAACTCTTGGGCTCAGGCAATCCTCCTGCCTCAGCCTCCCGAGTACCTGGGACTACAGGCATGATGCACCACCATGCCTGCTAATTTTTTTTATTTTTAGTTCCCTGGCTGATTTTTTTTTCTTTAGTAGAGACAGGGCCTTGCTGGCTGGTCTCGAATGCCTGACCTCAAGAAATGCTTCTGAGCCGGGCGCGGTGGCTCACGCCTGTAATCCTAGCACTCTGGGAGGCTGAGGCGGGCGGATTGCTCGAGGTCAGGAGTTCGAAACCAGCCTGAGCAAGAGCGAGACCCCTGTCTCTACTATAAATAGAAAGAAATTAATTGGCCAACTAATATATCTATCCAGGAATATATAAGAGATGCTAGATCACTGTTGTTTCTTATAGCTGAGTAGTACTATTATTATTATTTTTGAGACCAAGTGTGAGGTTGCTGTGAGCTAGGCTGACGCCACGGCACTCACTCTAGCCTGGGCAACAAAGCGAGACTGTCTCAAAACAAAAGAAAGAAATCCTTCTGCCTTGGCCTTCCGGAGTGCTAGGATTACAGACATGAGCCACCGCCTCCAGCCCTAGTCACTCTATTATTGACAGTTAATGCTTTGAGGACCTGGGGCTGCAGACCCCTTGCCGAGCTCGGGTTTGGGGGTTTGGCACAATCACTGGGTGACACCAGGCCTTCTACACGGGCACGCCAGAGGAAGTGTAGAAGTGACTTCATCTGTTGCGGCCAGGAGGCGATTTTGCTGCAATATTTTGCCTGCCGTTTTCTTTGTCATCGACCAAGGCCTGGCGCGTACCACACACGGATAGACACGCACAGGGCCTCGAAGGACGGTGGAATATTTAGGCTTTGCTCACAGTCAAACTCGAGGTACCACCCAAGTGTATTTCAAAGAGGCTGCGTTTGTGGTGGGTTTGACGACGGTAGACCCGTCCGTTCCAAAAGTAGTTTTCGTTCGCTTTTGGGAATGGGTGGTGTCCTCCCGGTCCCACCCAGTTCCCGGCTTCTGGGTTGATCTGGCCGAGCGCTCACGCCCCTCTTCCTTCCTTCCCCCAACCCCGCCCCAAGGCAGAACAGTGCAGCGGGCTGCAGGGGTTTTTGATTTTCCGGAGCTTCGGAGGAGGCACTGGGTCGGGGCTCACGTCGCTGCTGGTGGAGCGGCTGTCGGTGGAGTTCGGCAGGAAGACGAAGCTGGAGTTCTCCGTGCACCCGGCCCCCAGGGTGTCCACGGCCGTGGTGGAGCCGTACAACGCGGTCCTCACCACGCATTCCACCCTGGAGCACGCGGACTGCACCTTCCTGGTGGACAACGAGGCCGTCTACGACGTGTGCCACCGAAAGCTGGGCGTGGAGCGCCCCTCTTATGCCAGCATCAACAGGCTGCTGGCCCAGGCGGCGTCGGCCGTCACCGCGTCCCTGCGGTTTCAGGGCCCCTTGAACGTGGACCTCGTGGAGTTCCAGACCAACCTGGTGCCTTTCCCGAGGGTGCACTTCCCCGTGACGGCCCTCGCCCCCGTGGTCTCCGCCGACAGGGCCTTCCACGAGCCCCTGTCCGTGGCGGACATCACCGCCGCCTGCTTCGAGCCCTCCGGCCACCTGGTCAGGTGCGACCCCCGGCGCGGGAGGTACATGGCCTGCTGCCTGCTCTACCGAGGGGACGTGGCCCCCAGGGAGGTGAACGCCGCCATCGCGGCCGTGAAGGCCAGGGACTCCGTGCGGTTTGTGGACTGGTGTCCCACTGGCTTCAAGGTGGGCATCAACTCCCAGCCGCCCAGGGCGACGCCGGGAGGGGACCTGGCCCCGGTGCGGCGGGCCGTGTGCACGCTGAGCAACAGCACGGCCGTGGTGGAGGCCTGGGCCCGCCTGGACCACAGGTTTGACCTCATGTACGCCAAGAGGGCCTTTCTGCACTGGTACCTCAGGGAGGGCATGGAGGAAGGGGAGTTCTCCGAGGCCCGGGAAGACCTGGCAGCCCTGGAGCAGGACTACAGGGAGGTGGGGCAGAGCTTGTCTTGCAAGGACGGCTGGCGGGAAGGGAGAAGGTAGCCTGTCCTGCCTTCCTCTCGAGCCATGGCACGCTCAGCAGGCAGAGCTTCCCCTGTGGTTAGAAGAAAAACAGAACCGGGTCCGGCGAGCCCCTCAGTTCCACGCGCTAAGTTCATTGGGTCGGCGGTGCCAGCCACGAACACACGTGTCCTGCTCGGCCGCGGGAGTCTCCTCTGCCGCCCAGCAGCCTGCGGAGGCCTGGAGTCACGTCTAGGGCCGGCTTTTGTCTCCGTCTTTTTGTCAGAATGAAAACCTAGATTTACTCTTTGCCTTTTTTTTTTTTTTTAATGGCGAGACTATGAAACTCTACATTTTACGCTTTTCCTGTGCCCGCGGTGGAAAACGGCACATGTTGACTATGAACATGGTTTCCCCGTCTCTGCATTTTTACACAGATTAAACCATGAGTTATTTTCAGGGTGGTGCTTTTTCTTCCTACAAATTAGTGCCGTCAGGTCCCAGTTTGTTTTTGATACAAACAACAAGGAGGCTCTTTAGAATTTGAATGTGGGTGTCCTGCAGGTCAGAGGCAAAAGACATCTCTTCCGCTGAATAGTTCCCCCTTGAAACGAAAATCTACTAGGGACAGAATAGCTATAATAAATTCATTAAGGCTGTTTAACATTTTCCAACGTACATGTGTTATTTCTCGCTTCAGCCACTGGAGGTCACTAGTGAGATGCTTAAATAACACGCCCCGTTGTTAACGGGAGTTTTTGGTGCTGGGCGGGGGCATTTGTGTGTGCGAATTCACGCATCCAGAAAAAGGCCTTTTATAGATTTTTTAAAAATAAAGTTAATATACTAAAGTTAAGATGAAAACCAAAAGTATTTCTTAAGCTTTTCGGTCCTGCCGTGACAGCCTAGCAGATCTGTGTAATCACTATTTAAAGGGCATGCACCTGCACTTCAGGCCTCCCTTACAGTCTTCGATAAATGCTCCTAAATATTTTCGATTGCATGTAAATTTAATACATTCCGCTTTCTTTTAAGGGCTTTGTCTAACTTTCCCAAGTGCTCTAAGTAATTTTTTAAAAATCTAATAAATTAAGCTGTAAATATGGTCTAAGAACACACGTGTAAATTTATTTATGAAATATGTGCACTTTAAAATTGGGATTACAAAGCTGTATATGATCCTATTCGCCCGAACACCCTTAACTATCATATTAATAAATACAGTACTTTAAATGCCAAACATGCATGGCTTCCCTATCACAGGAACTTGAATGCACCTTATTTGATTTACTTGCCAGGTGTTTATCGAGCACCTATGGTGTGCAGGTCACTATTCACGTCGAACAAAACAAAACAATCGCTGCCCTCAGGGAGCTCGCATTGCAAGTGAAGGCAGCAGGAGAAAGGAGAGAAACATAATAAGTAAATGGTGCAGCATGTTAAAAGATGATAGGTCCTATGGGGGGGAGATAGAGCACGGCGAGAGAAAAGGGTTGCAGTTTTAAATAAGGAGGTCGTCAAGGCTTCCAGGGAAAGAGACATTGGCCGAGGACACCAAGCGAGCGACAAGGGAGAATGTGGACCCTCTGGAGGGAGAACTTGCAGGCAGGAGGGGCCTCAAGGAGCTGCAGGAAGGCTGGTCTCCCAGGGGAGGAAGGCAGTCTGGGGTCAGAGGATGCTGACCGGTCAGGCAAGGAGGGCGGAGTCGGGACTGCTGGGTTTAGCAACGTTGGGGGCGGCTGACTGTGACGCCAGGCTCCGGCGGATGGACGCCTGGCCAGCGTGGGTTAATGGAGAAGGGAAGGGTGGCGTGCAGAGAGATTGTTCCGGGCATCGCTGTTGACAGAGAGCAGAGTGACACTCCCGTCTGGAGCAGTTGTCGTCGTCAACGTGGGAGAAGACGGTTGCAGTCAGGGCCCTAGACAGAGCGAGCTGGGAAGGCTGGACGCACAACCAGGCGGGGGGCCGGGGTGTCGGGGAGGTCATGCCCACGTGCATGGAAATCACCAATGGCTGAGACAGGAGCAGTGCCAGGGACTGAGGAGCCCAGGGCTAACAAGATCAAGAAAGGAGGTGGGCTGACCCAGGTGTTGGTAGGCGACAGACACCTGGGTTGAGGGTTTCGGTCTCGGACGGGAGGTTCCTGAGGGGCACAACGGCTCACGCAGGGAGGAGGGAGGACACTGAACGTGCTTATCCTTGGAGGAAACCGTACGTCGTCCCATAGGCTTGGGCTGACCTTCCAAAGGTAAATGTTTCGTCTTTTGCCTTCTCAGCTTGTGGAGGCATCTTAGCGATACTGCCCAGGCGGTCACTGCTCTTTGTGTGACCTAACGGGACATGCTGACCCCGGCCACCGTCTGTAACAGGAATCCCTCTTAATGACAGAACAAGGGGGTCCTTAGCCCACTCATGATTTGAGTCACGTTGTTGAGTCACGTTGTTACCTGGTCAGGCCTTACACGGTACGAGGCATACGAGGAGATTAGCAGGGAGCCATGACGGTGCTCGGAGACAGAGACGCTGGGTGGTCGATTAGGCACATAAGTGACTCGTCCCTGTACATCTGCCTTGCAGAGCAATTCAGCATTGTGTCTCAGGACAGTGACCGACGATGACTCACCGAGGACTCACGAACGTCCCACCCACGGGGTTAAATCTTGTGTACCGAGCACCCAACACTCTTGCCTGCCCATGACCGGGGTTCGCCCCGGTCTACAAAACACTCGTTGGCTGCAGTGACGTGTCGTTGGATTGGGTTGCTGGGTTCTTGCAGCGGGTGAGGCTGCTGTTCCCTCCCCGTTTATTCCTTCCTGACTGGGGAGGAGGAGCCGGGGGGTGGGGGGACTGAGGGACTGGCCGTCTCTGCCTTCCACCTGCGGTGCGTGTTCCCGAGAGCACGTATCTAGGACCCACTCCTGGCTGTCAACACGGGGACCCATCTGCGGGGACTCAGACTCTCAGGACGCCGGGCTCGTGGACCGGGAGCCGTCCAACGGGAAGAAGCCACTGCTTTTCCCCCTGTCGTGGGTGGGCTACAGTTTTGGCCGCCTCTCCCTAGTTTGTTAACCGTCTGCTCCTGTTCACTCTTCAGTCATTCTGAGTACCAGACCCACCTGCAGGGGACAGTACCGTGTTTCCCCGAAAATAAGACCCACCCATAAAATAAGCCCAGCAGGATTTCTAGCGTTTGCAAATGAGAACCCACCCCGAAAATAAGATGCAGTGACGGGCGTGGCTGCGCAGCGCGTCTGCACAACCCATGCGTGTCATCGAGGAGCGGGAAAGAACACGAGCAGCCCTTCTCATCTGCCCTGAGAGAGCTCTAGTGCTCACTGAGAGATTGGGCAGTGGCTCTAAAGGAAATAGAGTTCACAGAATTCAGGATGGGATTCGGGGTTTGGAGAGTGATGATGATGTTCCAGAGAAGACGACTCAACTCTATTTGATAAATTGATGGTTGTACCGTACTCAAAAAAAACATCCCTGAAATAAGCCTAGGGTGTCTTCTTGAGGAGAAATAAATATAAGACCCTGTCTTGTCTTCGGGGAAACACGGTAGGCGTGGCTGGCGTCCCATGCCCTGTGTGCAAGAGAAGAGTCAGCACTTGATGGACCGATGAGAGAGGCTCTGGGCTCAGTCACTGTTACTTAACAGCTGGGAGCCCTTGGACTCGCTCCCTAATGTCTCTGGGCCTCAATGTATCCATCTTCAAAATGGAAAGACATAGTAGCTACTTAACGCAGGCTTGTGAGAATTAAATGCGGTAACGTTCACAAAATGCAGGGAAGTTAAAAGATTTGCTCACAGACACTTAACCGTGTAGACTCAGACAGAGATGTTCTGAGCCCCCGGGGAGAATTCTTTCTTCCCAGCATGTGGTTTTCCCAGGATGGAAACAACAGTTGCATTCTCACTTTTTTTTTTAGAGCTTTAGTCCTGTTAAGAGTTGGGGTACTTTTTTTTTGAGACAGAGTCTCACTCTGTTGCCCAGGCTAGAGTGAGTGCCGTGGCGTCAGCCTAGCTCACGCACCTCAAACTCCTGGGTCAGGCACTCCTCCTGCCTCAGCCTCCGAGTAGCTGGGACTACAGGTATGACCACCACGCCCGGCTAATTTTTTCTCTATATATTTTTAGTTGCCCAATTAATTTCTTTGTATTTTTAGTAGAGATGGGGTCACGCTCTTACTCAGGCTGGTTTAGAACTCCTGACCTTGAGTGATCCTCCCGCCTCGGTCTCCCAGAGTACTAGGATTACAGGTGTGAGCCACTGCGTCTAGCCTTTAATTTTACTTTTAACTTAAAAATCGTTTTCAGTGATTCTTGCCAGCAGAAGGATTGCTGGGCTAGAGGAAAAATGAATCTGTAATTTCGATATTAAGTGTCGGCAAGTCACCTGTCTAGGGTTCATACTCCTACCAGCCAGCCATGGAAGAGGGCAGCCCCTGACCTTGCCAACGGGGTGTGTTGTCACACTTAGGGACTTTCATAGTAGGGTGGATACGAAATCACACATCAGTGCGTTTATCATGGGTGGAGCTGAGTGTCTTTTCACATATTCAAGGGTCATTTATAATTTTTTGTGTGTGTGTGTGTGTGTTTATGTGATCTCTTCATGTTTTCGCTTATTTATCTCCTGGATTTGTTCTTGTTCTCCTCAACTTTGAGTAGTTCTCTGTGTCTTTGATAAATAATCCATTTATCTTTTATATGAGTGTTTTAAAACAGTTTTCCAAATTTGCCATTCATTCGTCTTTTGACTTTGGCAGAGGTGTCAGTCCCGGGTGTGTCTCAGTGTGTGTGTTTCTCCACGCGGAAAAGTTTATTTTGTTGGTCTACGATTTGTCCCCATGCGGAATCCCCTCTTCTGGGGGTCTGGGGAGCCCCGGGCTCTGCTGCCAGGAGCCATCGGAGTTCCTGCTGATGTCCGCTTTTAGTGGGATTTTGCTCATATTAAATGTTCTTTTTTGGGCATGGGAGACAGAGTCTCACTCTGTTGCCTGGGCTAGAGTGCGTGGCATCAGCCTACGCTCACAGCAACCTCCACTCCTGGGCTCAAGCGATCTCCTGCTCAGCTCCGAGTAGCTGGGACTACAGGCATGCGCCACATGCCCGCTAAGTTTTTATATATATTATTTTAGCTGCCATTATTTTTTCATTTTTTAGTAGAAGAAAGGATCTCACTCTTGCTCAGGCTGGTTTCAAACTCCTGACCTTGAGCGATCCTCCCGCCTCGGCCTCCCAGAGTGCCAGGATGACAGGCGTGTGCCACTGCGCCCCGGCCGATATTAAATATTCTTATCTCTGAATCCCTCACATATATCGTTTTTACACTAAATGCTATCACTTTTACAGGTCATCATTTATATCCTCCCTGGTGGCATTTGCTGCTTCTCAGATTTTGCCTTTGTCTACTCGCCGAGACTGTTGGGGGGTGCAGAGGCCTGACCCCAGACATCAGCGTCTGCCAGGCTCCCAGCTCGCCGCCCGGGGTGACCGTGGGCTCCACACGCCCCGTAGAGGACCGGCAGCCCCACACCCCCAAGAGCCATGGAGGAGTCTGGAATGTTCCAGGGGCGTCATTTAAACCTCCCTCTCCCTTTTGGCCTGGGCATCGAAAACAGTTCCCAGGTCATGTCCCTCGGGTGGGACCAGGCTCCAGGGACGGCTCTAGAGCCAGTGACCGAGGACGCCAGCGCTCAGCCGTCCCCCCAGAGCCCATCCCCTCCTGGGGAGACCGGGCTTGACTCGCCAGGGCCCCCTCCCCCACCTCCCTGTTCGGAGGAACTCGGGGTTCAAAGGTGGCTGCTGGGGGCAGAGAAACAGAGACAGGCCGGGGGTTCAAGAAACCATCAGTTTTAATGGGGCGAGGAGGCAGGGAAGGGGTTCGGTGACCAGATGGGGAGGGCAGCGTCTCCGGGCTCTGCCTGGGGGTGGGGTTGGCGTTCAGGGCTCCCCTCCGGGTGGGGCAGCCCAGGGAGGAGGACGGTGTGGACTCTGCCCCTGGCCGGTGTCTGGGCAGGGGGACGATACTGCTCTTGTGTGAGGACAGATGACAAGGGAGACAGGGCTGGGGCAGGGAGAGGTCAGAGGGGCTCCGTGGTGGAGCAGCCTGGGAAACCCACCGATCCCACAAGACACGAACCAGCTGACGGTGCGCCTCGCCCCTGACCGCCTCCTGTCCTTGAGCCTCACCCCTGCCCCCTGCCCCCTGCCCCCTGCCCGGCCTCCTCCTCTACTTCCTCCGCCCAATCTTCTCCATCAGGTGGGCGTTGGCGGCCGCCTGGGCTTGCAGGTTCTTGGCCTTGGCAATCTGGAAGAGGATGTTCATGAGGTGGGTGGGGACATCGAGGGACAGGGTGAACTTGGTGTGCCGGTCGCTCTTGGCCTTGTCCTGGTACGGCTTCCCCCTGAGCTGGGCCTGGGGCAGGTACTTGTACCGGGGGCTCCAGGCCCCGCCCCTGCCCCCAGAGACAGAGGAAGTCCTTTTCTGCTTGTCCTCCCCCACCTCCTCCTCCTCCTTCTTCTCTCCGGAAGACGAGGCTTGGCCCGGCAGGTAGTGGGGGGAGCTCCTCTTGTCCCGCGGGGATGCGCCCTCCGGCTGGCTCTTCCTGGCCTCAGACAGGGCGGAGTTGAGGCGGCTGAGGACAGGGTCTGCCTTGGGGACCTTGTGGGGGAGGCCTGTCCGGGGGCCCCCGAGGAGCAGCAGCAGGGGCAGCAGGAGGCGGGTCTGCACCAGCATCTCTCCCTGCGGCAGAAAAGAGGGACGTGGGCAGGGGTTGGGGGCTCAGAGGACGTGGATTGGGGGTGGGGTGGTATTGTTCTCCCACGTGGTACCCAGGCCAGCTGCCTTAACATCTTAACATTGCATTTGCTAGAAATGCAAATCACTCTTCCATCTTTTCCCAGAGCTAGTGAATTACAAACTCTGGGCCCTGGCTGGGCACGGTGGCTCACGCCTGTAATCCTGGCACTCTGGGAGGCCGAGGCGGGAGGATTGCTTGAGCTCAGGAGTTTGAGACCAGCCTGAGCAAGAGTGAGACCCTGTCTCTAAGATAAGTAGAAAAAATTTGGCCAACCACCAAAAAGGTTGGAAAAATTGGTCGGGGCTTGTTGGGCCTTGCTTGTGTTCCCGGTTCTTTGGGGGGTTGGGGCGGGGGGTTGGTTTGGGCCCGGGGTTTGGGGTTTGTTTTGGGTTGGGTTGCGGCCCGGGCCTTCCTTTTGGCCCGGCACCGGGTTGGGCTTTTTTCAAAAACCAACCAACCAAACAAAACCAAAAAAACTCTGGGCCCCGCAACTGTGTTTTAGCATACCTTTCAGATGATTTTAATGATCACTAAAGTGTGAGAGGCATTACCTTCCTAGTATTTATGGGTTTTGCTTAATTCAGGTTTGCAGGCGGCCACTGGCCCTGTGAAGAGAATAACAAGGAATTAACCGTTTAGCAGCCTAACTTGGTTGGTTTTAATGACCAGACATTCACTTGTTCATTTATTTGCATGACAAAAATTTTTCATAATACTTATGAAATCTTATGAAAATACACATGGTCCTTTCTTTAAACCATCCAAAGGTGTGAACTAGCCTGATTTGGGTGTGTAGCATTGTGTAGTGAGAACAACACAGGCTTTGGAGTTAGACAGAAACAGACTGGAATTTCGTCTTCACCCTGACTTGCCTACTACGGGGCCTTGGGCAGATTACTTAACCTCCGTGAATTTCGATTTCCTCTTCCGATAATGGGATGACAATAACTATAATGCCCTGTAAAGTTTAAGCGAAGGATTCCGTTAAAAATATCAGTGTGTGAAAGAGCCTGGTCTAATCAGACTCTCAGGAAAAGCTGGCCCACGTTTGTTCACACGTAAACGGTCTCCAGGTCTCCTTAGGAGAAGGTTCAGTGTGCACACACCTTTTGAGAACTACACACACGTACACACACACACACACACACACACACGTGTGCACACACACTCCAGGTGGTGTGAGCCAGGGATTCAATCCTGCATAATGGCACTCTTGTTGTTCCGAATCTTCTGTTGGTTGTGGGTTCTGACTACAGACCACCTTCCCCACCCCAGCCGGCACAAGACCTTCCTTCTCTAAATCTTGCGTTCGACAACAACCACCTCTTGCCTTTGACTTAGTCTCAGTCGGTGGTTCTCGAACTTAGAGTCGTTTAGAATCATGGGAATGGCTCTAACACAGACCACGGCCCCCTCCCGAGAGTCCCCACGTCACTAGGTCTGGGGTGGGCTGAGAAGGTGCACGTCTAACGCGGTCCCCGGAGATGCCGGCACTGTGGATCATGGACCACCCTCTCCGAACCACTGCTCTGCGTCTCCTGGGCCAGCTCTGTGCTCCTGGGATGGGTCAACTGTCCCTAGGGGGAAATAGAGTTTTCTTTTCCTTAAATCTTCCATCAACCATCACACCTTCAGCTTTATCAGTGCTGAGAATACAGTTGGTTGTTTTCTCCATGTAAAGCCGAATTCCTAAGCAGGTTTCTCCTCTTATGTCAACGTGGACTCTTTTGCCATACCCCCTAGTGACACGACACAAAAGTCTGGGATTTCCCCTTCTGCCTGCCATGCAAATAACCGAGCACCCTCTCGTTAGGTTTAAGGGGCAAAGCTCCACACCCCTATTTGTCTCGTTGGATAGCTTGAATCCCAACCGCTGCCTTGGCTTCTTGTTACAGTAGCACCTTTCTAGGGTGCTTTAAAGAGATACTGTTGCTCCTGAGAGCTTGACAGAACCCAGCACTCAAACGTGAGGCCAGGAGGGCTCTGGGCCAGCCTGGATTCAGCACCTGCCAGGGAGAGAGGGGACGGGGTGGCTCAGCGAAGCCAGCTTTGCCCAGTGCCGAGCTATTCCCCGGGGCGGGGGTGGGGTGGGCTGGGACATTTGTCTGCAAACAAGGACAAAAAGTTGAACTAAAAAGCTAAAGAATGAACCATTTAAAAACAATCTTTTAAATGCTAAAAGAAGGGTTTTTTTTGTTTTTTTTTTGCTAGGTGGCTCTATTTGAGGAGGAAATTGCAAACAGGATTTCTCAGACAACTTGAAGATGAAAGTGTAGACAGCAAGCAGCAAGCATCCCTCTCCCTTCACAAGCGGCGCTTACTCTGTGCAGATCTCTGCCCCCCACCCCAGGTCCCCGGGTAGCAAGGCGGGAGGACTCTGGGCTTTGAAGCAGGGGACCTGGGCTGGAGACCCCCCATGCCTCTCACCTGCCTTGGGTGTCACTTAACCTCTCTGATTCAGCAGCTGCATCCTGCAGAGGAGACGCTACCTGCCCGGGGTGTCTGGGAGAGTGGAAGGGGAGGACGCAGCGAAGGACTCTGGCGCAGGGCGAACGCCAGCATCCTCGCTGCTCCGCAGGTGCCGTGGGCAGCGTCCTGCACTTTCTCTTTCCCCCACGTCCCGCCCTGTCCCCAGTCTGGGGACTGTCACCGGGTCTCCCTTTCCTGTTCACAGCTGAACTCCCGTTCAGAGAAAAGAGATTTGTGCCAGCAGATTTGATTCTGCCTCTGATCTGCTACTTTTTGCAAAGCCGGTCTCTCTATGCCAGCAAGGGGGGGGGAGAGAACTCAGATAACTCAGCCTCCTGGGAAGCTCCCCCCACCCCCCAGGGTCTGTTTGGGGCTCTTGCCTCCTGACTGAACACACAGAGTGCAGCGGGGTTCAGCACTCGCCCCGGGGGGCTGGCAGCACTCACCTCTCACACCTGTCTGGATCCCAGCACCTCCTCCCAATTCAGGGCAAACGCACACGCCCCTGTCAGTCAGTCAGTGGGGACCTCAGGCTTACCCGAGAGTGGACTTCGCTCGCTCGGCCGGCCGTGGAAACGCGGTGCCGCTCCTCGGTGGGCTGCGAGCCTCCCTCTCTATGGAAACGGCTCGACTCCCGTGCATACATATAAAAGCGACAGATCGCAGGGTGGGTCGTAATTCCAGACGCAGTGTCTACACGGGGATGAGATTTCATTTAAAAGACAACCAGAACCAGCCTTCCACGTCACCACATGACAGGTGCCCGTGGCCTCCCGCCCTCCTCCCTCCCGCTCCCCCCACCCCCGTGCCCTCCCGCTCCCCGCTGATGTTAGAATTTATCTGAAAAAAACCAAAGGACCCAGCATAGCTATAATAGAACAATCTCTTGAAGGAGAACAAACTTGAAGAACGTGCACTACCCAAGTTTAAGACGTATTATAAAGCTATAGTTCCGGGTGTCACCAATCAACATATGGACCAGTGGCACAGTATAAAGAGCTTGGAAATAGATCCGTACGTACACAGTCCATTACTTTTTACAGACGCACAAAGTTGCTTCAATGGGAAGAGGACATCTTTCAACAAATGGTGCTGGGACAAGTGAATATCCGTATACAACAAAATTACTCAAAACCATACACTACTCCACATAAAAACCACATGCTACTCCACAAACCATACACTCACTACTCCACATATAAAATATATACTATTCCATATATAAACCATACACTACTCCATATATAAACCATACATCACTCCACATATAAACCATACACTACTCCACATATAAACCATATGCCACTCCACATATAAACCATACACTACTCCACATAAAAACCATATACTATTCCATATATAAACCATACACTACTCCACATAAAAACCATATACTATTCCATATATAAACCATACACTCCGACGCATGACCACCGAGGACTGCCACGAACGTCCCACCCACGGGGTGTAAATCTTGTGTAACCCGCGCGAGCACCCAACACTCTTGCCTGCCCATGACCGTGGGATTCGCCCGTCCTACAAAAACACTCGTTGGCTGCAGTACGTGTCGTGGATTGGGGGTTGCTGGGTTCTTGCAGAACGAGCTGAGTCTGCTGTTCCCTCCCCGTTTATTCCTTCCTGACCTGTGGGATGGAGGAGCCGGGGGTGGGGGACCCTGAGGGACTGAGCCAGTCTCTGCCCTTCCACCTGCAGGTTGCGTGGCTTACCCGAGAGCACGTATCTAGGACCCACTCCTGGCCTGCAACACGGACCCATCGTTGCGGGGACTCAGAAGCTCTCAGGACCCGGGCTCGTGGACAGCGAGGCCGTCCAACGGAAAGAAGTGTTTTGCCCTGTCGTGGTGGGACGCTACAGTTTTGGCCGCGACCTCTCCCTAGTTTGGTTTAACGCTGCTCCTGTTCACTCATTCCAGTCATTCTGAGTAACCAGACCCACCCTCGCAGGGACAGTACCGTTTCCGCCGGAAAATAAACCACCCATAAAATAAGCCCCGCGAGGCAGATCAACAGTTTGCCACAAGTATGAAGCCCCACCCCGAAAACTAAGATGCAGTTGACGGGCGTTGGCGTGCGCAGCGCGCTCTGCACCAACCCATGCCGCGGTGCATCACGCCCTGTCATCGCCTTGAGACTCATCTGAGGAGTCGGTTTCGAAAGAACACCCATGCGGAGGGCCCTTCTAGGCTCAGTGCGTGACCGCATCCGCCGTACACTCGGTTCTAAGGCTGCACGATCTATCAGAAGAGATTGAGGACACACCTGGCTCGTAAAGAGGAGAGACTCTATATGATCGAAGAGCGATCTAAGACATTCCGCCGGATCCCTGTGCTCCGGAATTGCCCGGAAAAAATTAGAAGGAAAATTAATTGGCCAGTTTGGAGCTAAGATAAGATTAGATATAATTATGATTTACCAGAAGAAGACGGACTCAACTCTATTAATGAATAAATGTAGGCATGAATCTCGTATCCGTACTCAAAATAACGACATCCCCCTGAAAATAAGCCTAGGGTGTGCTCTTGAGAGAAATATAATATAGGTACCCTCTGTCTTGTCTTCGGGGAAACACGGTAGGGTCGTGGCGTGGCGTCCCATGCCCTGTGTTCAAGCGAGAAGAGTCAGCAACTTGATGGACGATGAGGAGCTCTGGTCAGTCACTGTTACTTAACAGCTGGGAGCCCTTGGACTCGCTTCCCATATATGTCTCTGGGCCTCAATGTATTCCATCTTTCAAAGTGGAAAGGACATGATAGTCTATTAACACAGCGCTTGTGAGAATTAAATGCTGGTAACTTCACAAAATGCCAGGCGAGTTAGAAAGATTTGCTCACAGACACTTAAACCCGTGTAAGAACTCAGGACGAGAGTTCCCCGAGCCCCCGGGGAGATATTTCTTTTTCCAGCGCATGTGTTTTCCAGGGATGGAAACAACAGTTGCAATTCTCACTTTTTTTTTAGGCTTTACGTCCTGTTAAAGGTTTGGGGTAAGCTTTTTTTGAGACAGAGTCTCACTCTGTTGCCCAGGCTAGAGTGAGTGCCGTGGCGTCAGCCTAGCTCACAGCACCTCAAACTCCTGGGCTCAGAGGCATCCTCCTGCCTCAGCCTCCCGAGTAGCTGGGACTACAGGTCATGAGCCACCACCGCCCCGGCTAATTTTTTCTCTATATATTTTTAGTTGCCCAATTAATTTCTTTGTATTTTTAGTAGAGATGGTCATCGCTCTCTACTCAGGCTGGTTTAAGGACTCGCTGACCTTGAGTGATCCTCCCGCCTCGGTCTCCCAGAGGTACTAGGAG